ATTGAAATAAAAGATATTTTCCAATCATCATTGTTTAAACCGCTTTTGAGATCCTATTAAAAATGCACACTTTTTTGGCTGTAGTTTTTTTTGTTGTTGTTGTCGTCATCGTCATCGTCGTTGTCGTTATCGTCGATCATCCTTGGGTCTATGGGTTTCTGTTATCGAACAGATAGAGGTACAGATGCATAACGACTGTTTGTATTTACCACACATCTGTAACAGTATCAAAACTGCATTTCTGAATCAGTTTTCTTTGTTGTTGTTGTCATTAAATCAGAATATTAAATTGTGATGATTATTCTCTATTGCTCTTCAAAAGCCATTGATTTTTCTCCTATAATAATTTGTTGATAGATATTGAAATTTTAAAAGCAATATGACAAACGTAAAAAAAAAAAAAAAAAGGAAATGCTGTTGCTACTGTTATTGTTCCATTTCTATTTTTTTTTTCTGATGCTGCTAAAAATATTTGATATAAAAATAAAAAAGTGATTACCGAATATTTTTGTTACAATGCCAAAGACGTTGAATTGCAAGACGCATAGTTCGATGTCTTGAATAATATAGCACTAAATTGATCATTGAGTTAACTTTACTGAGAAGAAATAAATACATGAATAGGCTGTCACATGTCGGATTTTCTGATTTCATTTCCTCCACCATTCCTGCAAAAATAACGTTACTATCAATAAATAACTCTTCTTTTTTTCTTTGTTTTGCAACAAAAAAATAGCAATAAACTTTTGTTATTCATCCAAAATTGAGCAGGAAGCAGAAGCGTTTCTTTTTTGTTGTGTACACTGACTAACATTGAACAGTTAAAGGAAAATTGAAATAAAGAAAGAAGAAAAAATTGGTTGCTTAATACTGACTTAATCATTTTTGCTAGCTGCTTTCTCTAGTTTGGCTAACACTTGATATACTTAGTTTAAAACACAGAAACACTCAGAGTCTAAGAATTTGTTGAATTTATAAATCAAAAAACGACTTAACCTGTCTTTCTGAAGAGTTTACAAACAGTTAAGAGCTAAATAAAGTAATGAGGTATTGTTTAAATTACTAACCATACATTCCGACAGCCCGTGGTAAAGCATCTAAAAATAAAGTTGAAAAACTGGATAAGGCAATTGTTGCAGTAACTCTCAATTGAGCCTTTCTTTTACGATCAATCTAAAAAAATTGCGACAAATGTTCAGCCAACAAAGCTTTATCTATGAAATTTAAATTGAAAGAATATTTATTTTTCTTTGTACAAATCATTGTTTAATAAAAAATAATACATCCAATACCTGAGTATAACTAATTTTTTCAGAAATATATTTCAGCTGTGATCTCATAGCAATCAACAAAGGAATATAGACAATAACACTAAGCGCCGATGCCACACTACTTGTATATTTAGAATATTGATAAAATTCTGGTGAAATAAATTCTCGAGTCATACACATCATTGACAATGTTCCTTCTTTATATATTGGATAATGCCAAGCAGCAATTGCAAAAAATAATGATATGATATAAGGCTGAAAACAAAAAGAAAAAAAGAAAAAAATGTAAAAATAACAAAGCAAGAAAATTGCATTCATTATCACTGATAAAATCAGCCAGTAAAATTAACATTAACAGAAAGAAAAAGTTAGCCAACAAAGTAAAAAAAAAAGTGGAATGAAATCAAATTACAGTTCCAATCATCATTCGCATATAACATTCACCGAAATGAAGGTATTTAAGCGGCAGTAAAATAGACACTAAACGATCCAACGATAGAACCAAAAGCATCATTGCTGTTGCCGTATCAGACCATCGCCATAGCCAAGACTGCGGTAACAGCATGCATTGTAACGGTGTGAACTGAGTGTCTTTCAAACGAGCATAAATTACAAAAAATCTGTATATACCACCAATTAATGTTGCTAAACCTAAAATTATCATTTACCATTATTGATTGCTCAATCGAATGCATGAAATATCTCAGTTGAATACATCTAATAACTTTACCAGCTCTCTCATAATAACTTCATTTATTAAACAGTTGCTAGAACGGTATATAAAGAGGAATAATACAGTATAAAAACCACGTTAGAGAAATTGACTTTAAAAAAGTAGAATTTAATATTCTTAATTTTTTTATTAAATTTTTAAAATCTTACAGTTATAGCTGTTTAAGTGTTATATTTGAAAACAATGCCTTTTAGAAAATCAGATTAGCCCTAAATGAAAGTATATTAAATGAACCCATAACAGTTAGGGCAGTTGCCTTGGCGTTTTGTTCGCTATGGTGTTCCTTGATAATAAGAAAACTTTTAAATTACCAATATAACATTCTAGACTTTTGCTACCTTTTTTTTTTAAAGTTTAGAAGCTTCAATTCTGAGCTTAATTAGCACTTTAGTTAAACATCAGAAATTTTTGTATGTACAGTATTGGCAACTGTCTATATAT